AGATGCACCCATCTCCTCCTTATTGAGATATCAGTCAGTAATCATTAGGCAAACACTCTTCATTGAGGGAACTGCTAAGAGGCCCAGGAGTCCCAAGAGAGGATCTAAAAATGTCAAAAATGTTACAGTATAAATGAATGACACCAACAAGAGAACATGTGTTAGAGATGCAAGCAATTAGTTCATATATTACAACTTTCAACCTCTGAGCAAAACAGGCAACAAAAATTTCCTCTTGACAAAAAGCTACACAGATAAGATCAGCTTCATTCCCACACAATGCCATGGCCCTGCCTTGGAGCAGCCCCGAAGGAGTCTGGGAGGGAGGGAGGGAGGGTCAGGGACTCAGGGGTCTGCAGGGTGTGCGCCCCAGGGGTAGGTGGCTGCTGGGCTCCGGAGTGGAGGAGAAGTGGAGTCTGAAATGAAAGAAGTGCCCCTTGGAACCGGGTCACGAAGCTGGCTGCCTGCTCCTTGCTGGGGCTTTCTAATGAAACTGAAGGGAAAATGAATTCTCATTGCTGTTTTCAAAGGAGAGAAGGTGCCTGCAAAAGGTGACGGGGGTGGGGATATTATATGGACAAATGCTTGTTCCTTGCTTTTCAGAGATTTTTAAAGCTAAATATTGTATGTATAGTCCTCTCTCTCTCTCTCTCTCTCTCTCTCTCTCTCTCTCTCTTTCTCCACACACACACACACACACACACACACACACACACACGATGTTTTAAGCAAAAAAAAATTCCTCCTACATATATACATACACAGAAAATATGTTTTAAGCAAAAATACACATGATGTGCACTTGGGCTAAGGGTTTGAATAGGTGCCTTAGACGTAGCAAGGAAACACTGAGGAGGGGAGAAAGAAGGGATGAAAACCTGAGTGCACCAACCCCAAGTGTATCTGAATTTGTAGACAGTTACAAATGTCCACCCCATGTACACAGGCACACCTACACTTTCACACCTCCTCTGTTTACTAAATAACATTTCAGCACAGTTTTCATCTTATAAGGAAAGTGTTTGAAACTTGGAATAAGTGCACTTAATTAAAGGAAGGCTGTGAAAATGTGCACTAATCTGATATGACTAATAGCAAAGTGCATGAAATTGCTAATTAGAATTTCATTAAAGGTGCTGCTTTATCAGACTGTGAATATCACAACCTTTAAAATTCTTTCAGGAGAGCTTAATTCCTTTTCAAACAGAAATATTCTTTAAAGACATTTGATTTGTTCTGAAGGAATTCATGGCTTAGGCTGCAACTTAAAAGGTTGCCGATATTTCAGGAAGTGACACCAGAGTAGGAATATAGATCAGGGACATTGTTTCATTTGCCCGATGAATCCCTTTCTCTATGGATTATTGTTCAAAAAAAAAAAAAAAAAAAAAAAACACAGACACACACACACACACACACAAAAAAAAACCAGTCGTGAAAATAGAGTTGAGTCCTTGGTTTGTTCCACATGGAATTTGTTTTCTGCTAAAGTCAAATGTTTCTTCTCTCCCAGAAGAAAAGAGGAAAAGTTTACTTAAAAAATTTAAAGTCACTAAACATAAAATGAAGCATTTTAATTTTTACACACATTATCAAAAATAAAAGGAGCAGACAGTAAAAAAATTATTTTAAAGGAAAAGGCCATTTAGTTTTTAAAAAACCCAACAACAACAACACACGAAACAGCTGGCAGCCTATCCATGCTTTAAAAAAAAAAAAAAACCTCTTAAAGTACTAATAACATTTCAATCATAAGATTGTACTTTTTAAAATTAGGAGGGCCCACCGTTAGCAACAACAAATGAATTTTTACGTCTTCTCCGACCTGCTTTCCTGGGTTACAGGGTTTTCTGATTCCACACTTAATTATTCCCTGTACTAAGTCTGCATTTCAGCTTGCCTTTTACCACTCAGGTTTTTAAAATTCTACTCTTCTTCCCTCCCCGCCTATCTTTTCTATTTTCAGTCATTTCTGTGTATTGTCAGATGAATGAAGTTGCTCTAACTTGTTCCTGTCCCTACACACAGCTCTCAATGTTACTAATTGTATTTTTTATTTGTTGTTTTTTCTTGTTGTTCAAGTTCTTACAATTAGTAACTTTTTTTAAAAAAAATATTCCAGCTTGTTTGAACAGTCCCATTTTGTTATTGAAAAACCATTAATGTTCATGGAAACTACAGCTCACTCAAAGCAGCAGTTTACTTTTACAGAACTTGTTAAAAAAAAAAAGAAACACCAGCCTGGCTTCAAATTTGCTGAACACACGGGTGAACGGTGAGGTAATTTTGCAGAATTGAAATTTTAAATACACTTTAAAAACCTTGGTTGAAAAGCTAATCAGTCATATTTACCTGACGACCATATCTGAAAGGGGAGAAAACGAGAACAGAAGTAACTGTATTTGAGAAACAGTGTGTGATTTCTTTGGTCATGGGAACACATCTCCAGTGGGTTCATTGCAGTTTGCGCTGATTCTTGTTCCAGCGGGAGGAGTTTTCATGGCATTTAGGTAATTTATCAACCGGCCTAGTAACAGATAAAAGATTATGTTTTCCTTTCGACCATGGGGGAGGTATATTTCTACAATAAACGCAACGATTTTAAAAGATCAGTCTAGACTTAAATGAGTGAAAATTATGCTCGTTAACCGTAATGTCTGGAGCCGGAGGTGGGGTGTCAGGCTTGCTTAGGGGGGTGGGGGGGGGCACCGCAGTCAAACAAAGCTGCTAATTCGCATGTTTTAAGTTTCAAATGGAGAAATATTGTTCTGATGTGGCAACAATGGGGCTGTTGTCCTCCTCAGGGTCGTTTTATGCAAAACGAATGGCAGGTAATTGTGATTTAATTCTTTTCGAGTAAATTACAGTGCGTGTGTGACACGGAGCTGCGCCCGGACCCTCCTTTCTCTGTCAATAACCGAATGAATGATGGCAGGAGCAAAAACAGCAATTGTGCACAACAGCCCTCCCCGGGGTCCCCTCCCCGGGCCAAGGGGGGGCCTGCCAATCAGGCCGCGCCACCAGGAGGCTGGGA